AAATACGTTTATGGACGTTTCAATTTCCACTTCGGAAATCGTTCTCAAAATACAAACAGTAAATGAAACAAATTTTGTTTTTTTGTTACATAGTGAAAAATTCTTCTAATAATTTAATTTTATCTGACTCATTTATATTGACAATTCAGACATACATTATGCATTTTAAAGTAGACGACTTTAAAATGATATTGCCAATATTGTTGAGTTGCGCTCCTGGGACGACTTTACTTATAAGATAGTTCATTCGATTACATGAAATCAACTTTAACTTGAGAATATCCGTCAGAAAAAATCATAGCATGTAATTCGTCTTTAAAAAGACAAACACATGACACGATGACAGTAAAATTCTCCTGTTAGTGATTCCATAGTAAATTATGAGGGAAAACCAGGAAAAAGCCTCATAATACTATCCCGACATTGTAAGTATTTGTTCGTGAATTTAGTTTACCTTCAACAAACATCAAAATTCTGATTTTATATGTTACGTTATTTAAAAAACATATGTGATGTATCCTCTATATGTTACTGACTTACTAATACTGGTATATTCTTATTAATAACTTCCTCTTTTTTGTCCAAAACCAAACCTAACAATGAACAAGAAAGGACAAAGAATTGCATTTATAAAATACCTTGTGAATGCGATCAGTTTTATTTAGGTGAATCATCAAGGCCATTAAATTAGAAGAATTATAAGAGAATGGCCTAGAATAAGGCCATTAAGTTAGAATAAGTGAACATCAATCTTATATTAAAAATAAAGAATTTGATAGATCTCAAATCTGTAAACACGCATGGGATAATGAACATAGGGTTCAATGGAGTAATTCAAATGTAGTCGTAAAAGAAACGGATGGTAAAAAAAGAAAAATCAAAGAAGCGGCTCTAATTATGTTAAATGAGGCCAATTGTGTCGCAAATTCCTCGGCAGAATGTAGTAGCATCTGGTTACCAATATTGAAAGAGGAAGTTATTAATAAGAAAATACCAGTATTAGTAAGTCAGTAACATATAGAGGATACATCATTTATGTTTTTTAAATAACGTAACATATAAAATCAGAATTTTGATGTTTGTTGAAGGTAAACTAAATTCACGAACAAATACTTACAATGTCGGGATAGTATTATGAGGTTTTTTTCCTGGTTTTCCCTCATAATTTACTATGGAATCACTAACAGGAGAATTTTACTGTCATCATGTCATGTGTTTGTCTTTTTAAAGACGAATTACATGCTATGATTTTTTCTGACGGATATTCTCAAGTAAAAGTTGATTTCATGTAATCGAATGAACTATCTTATAAGTAAAGTCGTCCCAGGAGCGCAACTCAACAATATTGGCAATATCATTTTAAAGTCGTCTACTTTAAAATGCATAATGTATGTCTGAATTGTCAATATAAATGAGTCAGATAAAATTAAATTATTAGAAGAATTTTTCACTATGTAACAAAAAACAAAATTTGTTTAATTTACTGTTTGTATTTTGAGAACGATTTCCGAAGTGGAAATTGAAACGTCAATAAACGTATTTTTATCTTTAATTGTGGCTTATTCCCAGTTTAATAGTAATTAATTGATAGACACTGTTAGTATATATTTCAAAAAACCAGTGAGGTAATTTATGACTTCACAAAATTCGGATTGTGCGTACATGCCGTGAAATCATTATGCAATAGTATCCTAGCCGAAACACCTTTTTCAAAGTGAATTGCAGATTTACATATTTTATGTACTTTACATATGCATTTCATTAAAAAATATATAAAAAAAATCACGAAAACGACAAAAAAAAACACGAAACAATTTTAAATTTTTTTGAATGTTCCTTTTTGTCCATATTTACACTTTCGATGGTCTTTTAAAATCGGAATTAATATACAAAAACTATTTTATTAATACCCTGTATTTTAATCAATGGGTTACAGTCTTATTTATAAAACACCTAATATTGTACTATGGGATAAAAGCTATCAATGGGATTAGTTTTCTAGATAGATTACTCCCTTGCTACATTTTCATTAAGTTGTAAGTCTAGATAAATTTATGTATATCCAAAGAGTCCTTTCAGCCCTTTGGTGTTCTTAGTATAACTCTATTCTCAGGCCTATATTCATATTTAATCAATTATGGTTTCAGCCCCTATAGAATCCTGAACAATTTGTGGTACTATCAGTAGTGGTTTTGTAAATAACACTTAAGAGAATATTGCGGGATTGTTTTTTAATTATAAATAAAGCTTTAAATGATGTTTAATAAATAAAAAGGATCTATTGGCGACGTGCAAGTACTTGGATGTGATACGAGAAACGATCGTGCGCGAGTAGCGGAAAAATCTTGCATTTTTTACTGCAAATTTCATAGATTTCATAAATTCGTATTGTTAATTGTCATATTTCATATTCGTTTGTTTATTTAATTTTATACTTTATACACACTAGTATGAATATACTCCCGTCAGCGTTGTTTCATTTATCACTGACATAAATAATACTGTATGCCTAATTCAAATATCATCACAATGCGTCAAAGGTCAGCCATCACTTTATTAATTGTTTTTGTTTTAAGTAGGTAATAACAAAAAAATATTTACGTCATTTTGGTTTGCCATTAAGTTCTTATAAAAACATCGCAATATTTTGTGTTTTGGATAAATTGGTAAATAAATTTTGCCAATAAATCCTTCACAATCATTTCAACAAAATTGAGTCTCAGAGTTAAGTGTCTAAATCCCGGTGTGGTCTGTAGGCAGGTTGTAAAACTGTAACTTGAGAGTTATAAAAACACTTTTATAGGGTTTTAGGAAATTACAAAACCATTAAGAGAATGTAAAAAATGTGTTTTATTTTTTCGATATTTCAGAGAGGATGATGTATATTTATAGCCTACGGGATCTGAAATATACATTCGATTTTTTATTGTTTAAAATTCTCTCGGGAGTTTTGGTATGCCGGTATAAAAGATTCATAAAATATCTAAAATAATTAAGTTATCCAGTATCATATTTAATATATTTTCTTTTTGTATTTGTTCAATTCATTTATTTAATACAAAATTAACTTATCAATAAAATATTTTTCTAAGTAAACACAAAATAATGCCCATCATATGATTTGGAATAAAATTAATATCATTGGGACTCTTTCTGAGATATTTTAAACAGAAACACAGACTCGAATGAAGCAATTTGTGACAAGCTACAACAAAACTTTAAATTAAATTTTAAGACCGTAAAATAATTTTCGAAACCAACATCTTTATCAATGTCTGTTTACCTTGCAATTTTTAGAAGGTTCAGATTAAAGCAGAAATCTGAATTGGTTTCGAAAACTATTTTACGAATTTATTATCAGATGTCGCTATTGCGTCCATATCGAAGCCATTTGAATGTTGCTTCTTAAAGACAAAAAAGATTTATTTTTCACGTTGAGAACGCCTATGAATAGCTGTTCTGATGAGGCCTATTAGGCCGAAATGCGTGTAAACAGATACATAAACGCTTTGTACGTGAAATCTAATCTTTGCTGTCTTTTTCATTAAATTTTAAGAGGTTAACAATTTAGTAAATTTGAAATAATTTAATCTATTACTATTTAAATGGGAATAAGCCACAATTAAAGGTTAAAGTACGTTTATTGACGTTTCAATTTCCACTTCGGAAATCGTTCTCAAATACAAACATTAGTAAATTAAACAAATTTTGTTTTTTTATTTCTTGGTGAAAACTTTTTTTAATAATTTAATTTTATCTGACTTATTTATATTGACAATTCAGACATATATTATACATTTTGCAGTAGACGACTTTAAATGATATTGCCAATATTGTTGACTCGCGTTCCTGGGACGACTTTACTTGTAAGATAGTTCATTCGATTACATGAAATCAACTTTAACTTGAGAATATCCGTCAGAACAAATCATAGCATGTAATTCGTCTTTAAAAAGATAAACACATGCCATGATGACAGTAAAATTCCCCTGTTAGTGATTCCATAGTAAATTATGAGGGAAAAACCAGGAAATAACCTCATAATACTATCCCGACATGGTAAATATTTGGTCGTACATTTAGTTTACTTTAAAATTAATCTTCAATTAAGTACTGTATAATCCGTTATCATAGTGATTTCTGTGTTAGTGTAATGTTGCTAATAAGCGAAGAGGAATTATACTACCAGTTAATTTAAACAAGAGACGCTTTGACAAAAGGGAAAGCTCCAAGCTCCAAGTTAAACTTGCCGGATGAGAGACTAGGTGTGGAAGTCCTCTTATCCCTGTCAAGGTTCATTTCAATGGGTAATAGAAAGGTTCCTATTGAAATATAGGACAATAAAGTAGGTATGATAAAAGTTTTACCAAATAAATACCATCGAATTAGCTAAGAACCTAGTATAGGAGTAACAGCTATAGCAGATAACTAAAGATTTAATTTGTTGATTGAACCTGAAATAAAGATACATATTCACACATACATAAAAACAAACATAAGGTACACATATGTACCTACACCATCTTATCGCTAGAGAGCCACGCCATAAATGGCATTATTTAACAATGAGATTTGTGCTGCGACTATTGCTGTCTCCAATCCTGAACATTCTCATGTATACGGGCGCTTTAACTACGCTTTTGAACTACTATTTCCTTTGAAATATTCTAAATACTGATTCATTTGTTCAAAAGCATTGTTTTGTTTTGGTTCAGAAAAACTGAATAAGTATTTTAAAAGCTAATTTTCTAAATTAGTCTTTCTTATACCCACCATAGATGAAAAATATACAGATCAGGTCAAAATTTTAAGGGGAGTGACACAGGGGTGCATAATTTCTCCACTGATATTTAATCTGTACTCGGGGCATATTTTTAAAAGATATTGATGAAGGCATCTCAATAAACGGAGTTAAGCTCAATAACCTGCGATATGCAGATGATACAATAGTGTGTTCCAATACCATAGAACGGCTGCAAAACTTAATGAACAAAATAAAGGAAACAAGTAGAAAGTATGGACTGCATATAAACACCAGCAAAACGATCCTAATGATCATCAGCATGGAAAACATAACTGGAGCAAATCTGTATGCGAACCAAATGAGAATTGAACTTGTCTCACAATACAACTACTTGGAAACTATATTCAATGAGTCGTGGGATAATACCCAAGAGATTAAATGTCGCATTGGAAAGACAAAAAGTGCATTCTTGACTATGTGCTCTGTGTTCAAGAGCCATGACCTCACCCTAGAAACAAAAATAATGCTCCTTAAATGTTACGTGTCCTCAGTACTTCTGTATGGAGTAGAAACGTAGACGTTAAAGGCGCAAACTCTATCAAAACTTCTGGCTGTTGAGCTATTATTATACAAAAGGATCCTGAAGATACCAGGGACAGACAAAGTCACTAAGTCACCACTGAAGAAGTACTGCGGAGGATGAATAAGTAAGTAAATCTATGCAGATACGAGGTACTTCAATGCATTTTGCAAGGTAAAATTGAAGGATAAAATGCCTCAGGACGAAGATGAATATCCTGGCTTGCTAACCTGAGAGTATGGCATAGAAAGACCTCAACACAGCTATTTCGTATAGCAACCAACAAAGTCATCATAGCCAGAATGATCGCCAACGTTTGGAACGGACAGGCACACTAAATAGACTACCCACCATTTTGCCCTATTTAAAATTGTACGATCCAGAATTATCTAAAACCAGTCTGTTCGTGGACCGACACAGGTTTTATTGAGGTTGTAAACGGTTTGTAAACCACAAACTAGTTTTAAAACAGTTTCATCGTGGGGGCTGGGTCCAAGTCTAATATTTTAATATTTCTTAACCTTGTTTACATGGACTCAAATGTAACCTATTTATCATTCGATCATAGTTTATTAATTCCTGTCTTTTTAAATCCTAGTCCTCCGAAATTTTAAATCTTCTTATAACAATAAAATTAGGGTAATTATATTTCCAAATTATACACATTTATTTACATAATGTGCTGGATTTGAAATACGAACTATAATAAATATATTTTATAAAATGAAAACAATAAAATAATATAATAAGGTAAAATATTTTGACAATATAATTGATATAATTGAAAACAAAACCATTGTAATAAATTTGGTTTGGCTTTTGAATACTACAGCTATTAAAAGTAAGCTACGATTAGATTATTTAACTAATGGAGCCATTGTTTTAGTTTATAGTGACATATTAATATGCAATAATAATTTTAGTTTCTCTTTGAATCTGCCAGTGTCATGATGGCGTTTTATGCAGGTCCGGCAAACGATAATAGAAATTGTATATGTAAAAGGTTCATACGATTTTGTGGTTACTATAATTCGCCTTTTTTCAGGTTTTATAAGTTATAATGTTATGTATATATAGTATGATGCAAATGTATGGAATAAATTCATTATTTCAGAAACAGACGACTTTTAAAATAAATCTTAAAACACGTTAATTTTAATTTTTTAATGCCCATTAACTGCTATACATATGTTAGACATTACGTCGTCAGTGTCGGCGTAATGACGTAATCGAAAATTCGCCGTTGCAACGATATAATCAGTTAACATCAAAGGATATAATCACAGTCACAAGGTTAACCAAAACTGTTGATTTATTAATACAATTAAATTACAATAAATTTTTACTTAAATACAAGTAAATTACGACAAATGTTCAAATTAACGATCTTCAGCAATAATCTTCAGTAAAAGATGGGCAATAAATTCTTTCCTAACGTTTTCGATGGCTTCAGGTGTTATTTGTGCAATTTCCGTTCTGATGCGCTCCTTCATCTCTTGCGCAAAAAAGTCTAACGGAGTCAAATCTTAAGCCCTTGGTGGCCATTTTATGGGCTCCCTTCTATCTACCCACCTACCTGGGAAAACGTTATTAAGGTAATTTGGTACCTCAATGTCGTAATGTGGGGGAGCCCCATCATGTTCGTACCACAAATCATTTCTATTTGAAAATATCTGATTCAGCTGTGGCAACAGATAATCCTAAAGAAAAAACGCTTCTAGATAACAAGAAGCAGTTAAGTTTTCCTCAAAAAAATATGGCCCTACAACTTGATTGTTTATAATGCCGCCCAAACATTCACCTTTTCGGGTTATTGTGTCCTATACTCTTTCATTTAATGTGAATTTTCACTTGCCCTGTGTTAATATGTCTGGCGATTTACGTAACCGTTCAGCACAAAAGACGCTTCATTAGAAAAAATTACCTTTTGTATGAAACACTGTTACATCTCTGTTACATTTTTCCATAACAGTTTCGCAGAATTCAGTTTTTCTATCAAAGTCATCTTCTAATAACTCCTGAACCAAATTTACTTTGTATGGCTGCCACTTCTTCTTTTCTAGCACTTTTACAATAGTTGACTGGTGGACATTATCATTATCTAGTGCGATCTGCCTAGAACTGGTATCGGGATTTTCTTGAAACGGCAGTATAACGTCTAGTTTCTTGGCTTTGAATATTGATTTTCTACCACTTCTGAGAAGATCTTTACCATGGCCCGTTTCTCTAATTTTTTTTTTCAATATTACTTACTGTTGATTGAGTAATTGGTTTGCGATTGGGGTATTTGGTATGGATATCTGGTTAAGTTTCTAAGGAATTTACACTTTTATTCAAATTGCATTAGAGGATATTGAACTTTATATACATGGTAGAAAAGTTTTATTTTCATATACTTACTTTAAATTTTGTGTTTCTAATGGTTGGCCGGCCCTGACATTCGCTAAGAATAGGTCTTCTTTTGTGTAGGTCTCTCTCATATCTCTGCATGATAGTAGATGGTGACTATTTTGAACTGCGCCACAGTCAAAGGTATTCTCCTCCTGGTATACCATTTCTTCACGTTACTAGCACAACGTGAATCAAATATACAGATACAGCAAATTGTGTCCAGCGGCTATATCCTCTGAGGGAGCAAAATGTGTTATAGCTGACGTATAGGTGTATTCGGCGCGTCTTTGGCTCTTCGGGAAGGGATCGTGATTTTTTCAGAAAGCTTTACCGAGATCTAAATCTATTTGGCTGAACTTGATGGTAATACAGGGTCTTCGATCCGTTTCCTGTTTCTTTCGTTCTATCTCTGACGTGACCTATCTTCTGATAACAGGTGAAGCGATTCAAACTATAGGGTTCTTCGATAGGTGTCGGTTTCAGGCAACCAGATATTATACGAGCCATTTCATTTAAGGCAACATCGACGTTTTTATCGTGAGCAGAGTTTTCCCACACTACTGCTTTAAATTTGGCGGCAGAAAAACATAATGCTAAGGTAGAAGTGCGGAGAGTGTGTGTTTGTTTCTGGCGCTTACTTTTTTCTTAATATCTTGACAGTCATATCGATAAGACAAAGTTCTATCCAGACGTACGCCGAGGTATTTGGGCGTCTCATTGTGTACAGTGTCCTTTGGACATGCTTGCTTCTGAGGTGGAAAGCAGGAAAGCACACACCTGGGATTTTGTAGGATTGGGATTCAGATGATTTTCGTCATAGAATAGTGCTAAGTCTTCTAGGGCCTCTGTTATTTTTTCTTCGACATCATTGAAGGTACTTCCCTGAGCATCCACAGCTATATTATCTGCGTAAATGAACTGTTTTGTTTGTTGGTTTTTTGGTTGTTCGTTGGTGTAAACTGCACTGTTGGAGTCCATTTTTTTGATCCCTCTACCGACTGTTCTTGGACTGGAGCTTTACGTAGAAGCGTCTATTCTAGAGAAGACATTTCATTAACCTTGTTAGTCGGAAATCCTTTGTAATTTCGTAAAGTTTTACCAGCAGCCGTTGATGATTAACTGTGTCAATGGCAGCAGTCAGGTCTATGAACACTACTCCTGTTATTTCTTTCCGTTCAAACCCATCTTCAATATGTTGGGTGAGATTAACAGTTTGACTGTAGCAGCATTTTTCGGGTCTAAACCATGCATGTTCAGGAATAATTTTAGTGTCCGCAGATTCAGCAATCCGGTTCAATATAATTCTTTCTAACGCCTTGAAAAGGTGACACAAAAGAAAGACAAGTCTAAAACTCTTTGTATCCGCCGGATCTTTTCCTGGTTTTAAGGGGCACCACTCTAGCTTTCCTTTAGTTCATTATTTTTACGAACTATTTTAGGGTTTGGGGTCCAAAGTGCTTTATTTGTTTTGTTCGTATATCATCTAGGCCAGCTGCTTTATTATCTTTCATTTGGTGGATCGCATCTCTCATCTCCTCTAGACAAAAGGAGGTATCTAGAACATCCTCTTCTTCGTTGTCTCTTTCTGTCGTCTTACCATTTGTCAGGAGATGATCTGACTTTTGTCAGATTTGGTGCCGGGGCGGCCGGATTGTTGCCAAGATTCCGAATTAATTTCCAAGCGTGTCTGCTATTTTGTTTCATGTCTATACTCATGACCAGCTTGCACCACCTGTCCGTTTTGTTAAATAATATCGCATGTAGCACTTCTTTCCGGCCTGTATTGTTGTTTCCGAAAAGGGGCCGTCTTCGTATAGCTGCTCGTATTTTTTAAGTAGGGGTTTAGATTCTTTATTTAGCGCCGCTATGCATTTGGCTAGGCAACCTCTAGGAATATATTTTCGTTATATTTGTTTTAGATTTGTACAAATTTATGGTATAAATCAGAGCACGGTTCTAGCTAGAAAACTTCTTAATCTAATGCTTCAGCAAAGTTTTCCCATTTTGATTTAGTCAAATTGAACAATTTTGTATGGGTTGTAACTTCTGCGCCATCTTCCGCTGTTAAAAGACTGTTTTGGATTATGAATAAGATTGAGGTTTATGTTTTCAGTCAAATTTTCCAGTTTTTTGCCATTGGAGTCTGTTTCGTTATATCCCCACATGATACTGTGACAGTTGAAGTTACCCAGTAGGAATTTTGTTTACTTTGATTGAAAGTTATTCAGTTCCTCAAAAACAAAGTCAGCGTTTGACGGTTTGTAGATGGACGTTACTGTACAAGACTTTAGTTCCACTGTGAGGATCTTGATGTCATCTCGATAATATGTTAAAGATGTGTAAACTATGTCGATATCTGGTCTGACGAAGACTGCGCTACCATACTGGTCGTGTGGTCTCTCTAGTATAAGTCTCATACGTTGAATCCTTGGTCTGCGGTTGCAGTACCTTGATAGGTTTCTTGAATCAGTAGGACATCGACACCGTATTCTCTGTGCATATTAGACAGTAGATCTTCTTTATTTGCTCATAATTCTTCAATATTAATTGAAGTAAACCTCAAAAATGGCCTTGACAAAGACCGTTTTGGTTGTGTTTGCATCTGTGTTGGTACCCGGTGGTGAAAGGATTAGCTGACATTACTCGT